ATTTTTTAATTAAAAAAAAAAAATGATCTGAAAATTTCTAAACATTCCTTTTATAAAATAAGTTCGATACATGCTCATATTTCCCTGTAACATATCTTGACATTTGTAACCCACGTATAACCTTGAAACCTTCAGATGCATTAGAAATACGGTGGTCCAATTGGGTGCCAGGTAATTTGAGCTTCTGCTGTTGTCTAGTTGGTAGATTTCTGCGGAGGGACTTTCATCAGTGCAGGTGTTTGTTGCCAGTTAGGATATTGCCATCACTGGTGTCCTGTTTGCTTGGCATCATTGATTGCTAGGCATCATTAATTGCTAGGCGTCGCAGGATCACACCAAAATGGGTCACTTGAAGCTTTGTTTTTCTCTATACTGTAGCCTAGAAGAGGTTAAAATTGTACGGTTAAAATGTTTTTTCAATATTAAAGCCAGGCTTTGGTCCAAAATTTCATCACTCACAAGACACATGTTGATTCAGAATGTCACCATTCACAAGACAGTAATTTTGGTCCAAAATGTCACCATCCACAAGACAGATATTTTGGTCCAAAATGTCACCATCCACAAGACAGTAATTTTGGTCCAAAATGTCACCATCCACAAGACAGTTATTTTAGTCCAAAATGTCACCACTCACAAGACAGTAACTGGTCCAAAATGAGATCACTCACAAGACATTAACTTTGGTCCAAAATTTTACCACACACAAAAACAATAACTTTTTCATAGTAATCACCTATACTTACTTAAATAAATAGAGATCTAGATTTTAGGATTGCAATTCCTGTGTTTAAAAGAATTATTTTTGTGTGTGCCATGTCTGTTGACAAATACATTATATAGGGAAGAAAGACAAGAGGTTGTAGACATGATTACAAGTCAAATAAAGGAACGAGAAAGCCAGGATTGCAAACTGCTGCAGGTCCCTCCGCAAACTCATTGTTTTTCAACTTTTAGTTTTCATCACTAAGTGCCTTCCCTCTTTCACGTATCCCACCCACCAGTTATGCTTTTTCATGTTCCCGAATGTACATACATTTTGAGTATATCAGTGTGGTTTAGTGGTAGCGGGTAGACAATTTTTGTTTGCTTTGTTGTACATTATTTGCCATTTTGAACAGGTTTGCAAGACCCAAGTTTTTCAGTTTGTTTTGTTAAGTTGTTACAGGAATTATTTCTATGCTTTTATGTTCTCCGTTCATTTTGTAGCGCAAGGAAACTATTGATTTGCTTATTTGTGCATGATTTTAGCATTCAAATGATTTATATCTCAATCAGAATCTGCATTGTAAAAGTGTGTATGTGTCTCTTTTTTTTACAAAAGCTCTTAGGGCCGATGTATGTCTCTTTCTGTCTGTAAATTTTTCTCTGTCTTGTTATCATTTATGTCTGTCTTGTTATAATATTCCTGCACTACTGGCATCTGTCTGTTGTCTCTGCCTAACTCTCTTCATCTGTCTCTCTATCTCTCTCTCTCTTTCTGTCTCTCCACTCTCTCAGTTTTCTCCTATATCTAACTCTGTGCTTATCTCTCTCTCCTCTCTGCTCTCTGTCAGTTGTCCCTCCCCTTTCCACTGTCCTCTCTGTGTACTCACCTGTCTACTTTTCTCACTGTTTACTGTCCTCTATTTCTGTCTACTCTTCTTTCTCTTTATCTACTCTCCTCTATCTCGTTTTTACATTTCTTTCCTTTTCCTAGTTTCTCTGCTTCTTCTCCATTTTGGTGTGTACTGTCTCCATAACTTTCTCTCTTTTATTCCTCATATGATAGCAATTAAATTACCTAATTATCTAAAACAGCTTATCAATGTATTTATGTTTCTTAAATGTTTATCTCAACCTTTATTAAATAAAACATTTATACTCATATGACTGTATAGCGTAGTCTCCAGTATGATAATTTCCCCACATGGATTCATTTCATAGACTCTGTAAGTTCACTCATGCAGTTTTTGCAGAGATTCGTTTGGATTGTTGCCAGAGCTATGGAGTTTATGCTTTTTGTAACAGTCTCGGCTGGTGGCTAGCCATAAAGCCTAGTACACTTGCCAAAATTGTCTTGACTTTAAACTTGTTGACAAAAAGTATTGCATGCACCTTAAAAGTGGGCATCTCTTTTGGTATGTTTTGCAATAATCATCCCAGCACTAACTATTGCAGTAGCTTGTTTGTTACTTGGAGGCTAAGGATGTTTATGCATGCTCCTGTATGGCCTTGTTATGTAAAAATGTAGTTTTTGATAGTAGTTGTGAAGGTACAGTGTTTAACCTTTTGTTTTACATTCAGTGTATCCATGCTTGTTTATATAGAGAGACTAACTACTGTACAATATTTACACATAATGACAGACAGATGTACAGACCCACATGCAGAGAGAGAGAGAGAGAGAGAGAGAGAGAGAGAGAGAGAGAGAGAGAGAGAGAGAGAGAGAGAGAGAGAGAGAGAGAGAGAGAGAGAGAGAGAGAGAGAGAGAGAGAGAGAGAGAGAGAGAGACTAACTAAACCAGGGCTAATCATCTAAGTTTACTCAGGGACCAGAATTTTGAAAATGGAGATTATCATCAGCCAGAGGCTGGAGACGGAACATAGAAAGATCATTGATACAGCACAGTTGGCAGTGACCCAAAGGCCAGTTGAATAATTCCAGGCTAAACCATTGATCTTACATCAGATCTAACATCTTCCCACTAATTCTTCTCCTCATGCCAAATTTGGAGCTGTTATCAGAAATCATAACTTTCAAAGCCTGTCTTGGGTTACAATTTGTGCAGAGATGATTGCTGTAAATGACCTATGACTTCCAGGCCACCCCACTGTTAAGGGTTCCTCATTGATATACACTGTTGTGTTGAGTTTGGGTTTGAATCCTAACACTCTACATCCACAAGAGAAGTGAGACTAGACTCCTAGATATCCAAGTAAACAGCCTTATTAGACTCATAATGTAAGTTAATAGTAGCTGCTGTTGGTAACCATGAGAGCCGCTGCGGTGTAGTGGCTAGTCGCTCAACTGTGGATCCAAAGGTTGAGGGTTTAAATACAAACAGAGATGGACTTTTAATTAAGTAAAATTATCTTGGTTGCCAGGTCGACCCAGCAGTAACTCTACGAATACGTGTACATTCAGAGGATAGAACATTGTCATGGGAATCAATAAAGGACCCTCTACCTGCCAGTGTCGTACTGGGCACATGATGCTAGATCCATATTCTGTGTTAACTCTTTCAGCCCCAGGGCGTTCAGCAGCAGAGGCCCAAGGGGTAGTCAAGAGAGAAGTAAAATCAGCGCATCATGCGTTAATTGGGCTTCTTGGTAGGAACCTAGGAACACACGATGCTTTTCTTGGGACCGAAAGAGTTAAATGGGTACCAGGTAAAGTCCTGGGAAGTAAACTCGGCCGGCATGATGTTGACCACATCACCCACTGAGTGCTGATTGCCAATAAGACATAGGTCCAGCCCTATTTGCCTAATATGCCTGAAGGTGTGGAAGAAGGTCCTTTACTGACTTTTCATTTGTACCCATTGGAGAAGAAAAGGGGTTTTTAGATATTTAGATTACTTTAATTTGTGAATGGATAGACAGGGTGGATTACCCCCTCCCAGCACCATCCTGCTGATTGAATCCTTTGACAGAAGGATCCACAGCAACTTCCAGTACTGAAAAACGTAATCTGATAAGGCACAGTTGAGTTAAGAATTGACATCACAGCATTCTGGGCATTTCCATATACACTCCGTCTCCATCCTCAGCAGCCAGCGCAGAGTTCCAGTACTAATGGTGCCAGTTGTAGTCTGTCTCTCTGTTCATTCCCCACCACGCTGACATAGCCTGGAGAAAAGATCCAAAGTATGCTCACTACCCATGACCTTGCAAGTGGAGCTTGCCACTGTTCTCTTGTCTTCACCTTTTTCAGCATGCTTCCAGAGTCTGTTACAATTGCGACATGTGTATGTATTTTTTTCTCTAGCCACAGGAGAGAAGCAGTGACCGCCTCCACCTCCATTCTCATGCTAGATGGAGAGAAGCAATGACCGCCTCCACCTCCATTCTCATGCTAGATGTTGTGGTATCCTATGCCAGGCTGTCCTGCACTAAGGAATTTCCATTGGCTTTCACTACAAAACCCCAGGCACTTCTCTTCCCTTTCAATACAGAACCATCTGTGTAGATAGTCAGATTGATAAGGCAAAAAAAAAAAAAAAAATGCCTAACAGGCATGGCATCAGTAGCCCAGACATCTTGAGTTTCTTTTGTTGTTGTATGTTTGTCTGTGAATGTTGCCTTCCTGCCATTGCTACCTGTGTGTGTGTGCATGTGTGTGTAGTGGAATAATCTTAAAACTGCATGCCGGTGTGGTTGCTTTAGTTTAGCAATGGGTATTGTTTCATTACATTCTTAAATCCACAATTTAAGATATCACTGAGGAGGAAAATTTATGTTTTGTTTCATTTCTGTATTTAATCCACATTTTAAGATATCATTAATAAAGACAAAATACTTTTTGATTCATTACTTGGGTTTAATGCACAGTTTGTATTGAGGCTGCCAAAATATGTTTTATTTCATACGCTATTTTGAATCCACAATTTACGACGCTAAGAAAGACAGTGTATATTTTTAAACTACGGTTTAATTAAGATTTAGAGGACATCTTGGGCTATAACTATATCTATTATATTGGTAACTACACTATTTTCTGCATTTGATACCTTATATTGGGTCTGTCACTCATTTGTTAATGTAGTCAATACTATATATTTTGTCAGCCAATCAGTTGTTACAGCAGTCAGTGCTTGATCATTGGTCAACCAATTATTTGTTACTGTAGTCACTGCTTCACATTTTTTTAAATTTTGAGCCAATCATTTATTACTGCATTTGGCTAATCAGTAATTTATTGCTGCATCGAATATTCAATGATTGATCAACCAGTCAGTCTCCACACTCCATGCTACTGACACTAACACAGGTGTCTATTTGTTGTTTTGTTCCAACCAGGATCTGACTGGGTGGACCCGGATGATCCCACAGTTATAGCAGAGAATGAACTCCTTACAGCAGCAAGCTCCATAGAAGCAGCAGCCAAGAAGCTCTCCCAGCTGAAGCCGAGGGAACAAGTGAAGGTAACTTGAATCATCCAATGATGTTTTGATGAGTAGACTAGTTTCTAGATTACTTGTTGCTTGATCTATACAGTAACTATAGTGACCTAACAGAAGAGTCCTTCCTTGAGGACTGGGTGTTGTAGTTTGTTGTGAATCTTTAAAAGATCTTTTTTCCTCCTCACTTTAACATATTTGGTGCCAAAAACTCCTCTTAGATTTCTGGAGCCCTATTTGGGAGGAAAAAGAATAGATCTACTTAACAAGCCATGTTATAAGTGAACAGAAGGGCCCATTCAAGAGATCTCTTCGTGTCCTGATGCTGCAAGGCATTCCAGGAGTAGAGAAAAGAAGAACAAGAAGAAAGATTTGCTTAAATCAGATGTTTTGGGCCGAAAGGGCAAGATATTACAGCCTAGCTGTAAATCACAAAACACTGTGCTAGTAGTTCTTTTTAAAAGCAAATGCAGAAGAAAAGAGGTACAAAAAAGTGTTCACAGTCGACACACTATTAGGGGGAAAATGCTGTGAAAAATCATGATTTGTGAATTTCAAAGAAGAGGAGAAAGGAAGCTTTAACACTGGGTAAGTACTGTAGAACTTTTAAGTATTATAACTCTTAATTCTTTAAGTACCTGAAAGTTTTCCCAGCAGATGCCAAGCAGGGCAAATCATTCTTGTTGGAAAGCAAAATCATGATTTTTTGGTTATATTTTTTTTTATTTTAAAGAAAATAAGACAGTGCAGATAGCCACTGAAGAAATTAGATTTTCCTAACATGCTCTGGATATGTGTAGAATATTAAAAACAACATTACTTGATGGCTGTCATAAGTGGGAAGAGTAATGTTAGATATAGATTTCAATGTGGATTCTGGAACCTTAATTGGGTGGGGGGGGGGGGGGGGGGGGGGGGGGGGGGGGGGGGGGGAAATACTCACCGTCCCTAACAAGAATGTTAAAAAAAAGGTGGCTCATCATGGGTTTATTGGAATCAGTTATGTTTGGCTAAAAGGCTAAGATATCACAGCCTAGCTGTAAAACAACACAACATCTCATCTTACCTTTTAACTCTTTGAGTACCAAGGAACGCACTATACATTCATAGGTTCCTACGTAGAAGCCCAATGTTAAGATATGTTGATTGTATGTCTCTTTTGACTACCCCCTGGGCCTCTGATGCTAAACCCCCTGGGACTCAAAGAGTTAGAAGTGAATAATAAAATAAAAACAGAAGAGGATTTCAAACAGAATTTATTTAAATAAATTGTTCCCAACTGTGTTTAGGTAAATTGGGAGCATCTGTGCATCTCTGCATGGGCGCTACTAGTGTACTTCATTAGTCCCAAGTGCCGGGTTCTATTCCAGCTGTTATTAGTTTCCCCAATGGTAGCAAGTGCCAGCATTTCCATTGCAAACTACTAAACATAAAATTGCTTAGTGAAATCACAAATAGCCTTGAAATGTTTTGGTTGCTTGTTCTAAAACGTTAGTGTTTTTTTATTTTTAGGTAAATTATTTTGTTTAGTGCATTGAGATCAATTAATTTTTTTACGTTTCTAATAATTGTTTATAAATAAAATATATTAGCTATGTATGTTTGGATAAGATAAATCTTCCTCCTAAATAAGTTTAATCTAACTTGTTTACAAAGCATATTTAATGTAAACTGTTTCACTATGTGTAAATTTTTTACACATTGTATTTGGAAAAAAAACTTTCTATATAAACATGTTAAGCTAAACTTTTACAAAGTATGTTTGTTTAAAACATGTTAGCTAAGCATGTTTAAAGTCACTTTACATTTAATTAATTTAAATAAGATTTTTTTTTTAAGTTTGTTTATACATTTGTAAATATATATTTATGTTAACTTTCTGAGAATAAGAATATTTACATAAACATTCTGTTTCAATACACTCACTGCTATGTTGTTTAAATAATTTTATTCAGTCCTTCCCCCTCTTTTTAGGTATAATATTAGACACATTTCTCCCCTAGGTTTTGTTTGTTTGTGTGGGGCACATTTGACAAACTTGTCCACTATGTTTGTTGAGGTACAGCATCAAACTTTACCTCTCACATTGTTTAGATACAACATTAGATAAACTCTTCCACTGAATTTGTTTAAGAATAATAACATTAGGCAAACTTTGATATTGCATTTGCTTAGCTACAGTGTTAGGCAAACTTTCATACTACATTTGCTTAGCTACAGTGTTAGGCAAACTTTCATACTGCATTTGCTTAGTTACAGTGTTAGGCAAACTTTCATACTGCATTTGCTTAGTTACAGTGTTAGGCAAACTTTCATACTACATTTGCTTAGCTACAGTGTTAGGCAAACTTTCATACTGCATTTGCTTAGTTACAGTGTTAGGCAAACTTTCATACTACATTTGCTTAGCTACAGTGTTAGGCAAACTTTCATACTGCATTTGCTTAGTTACAGTGTTAGGCAAACTTTCATACTGCATTTGCTTAGTTACAGTGTTAGGCAAACTTTCATACTGCATTTGCTTAGCTACAGTGTTAGGCAAACTTTCATACTGCATTTGCTTCGCTACAGTGTTAGGCAAACTTTCCTCTTCTAATGGGTCACATTTTCCCCTAATTTGTTCAGATGTAATTTTTAAAAAGTGAAGTAAAGAACCCTTTATCCATGCCTTGAGGCGAGTGGACAAATAGGGCTAGACCTTTGTATTATAGACCAATTGGTATTCAGTAGGTGATGATGTCAACATTACGCAAGGCCACCTTTACTTCCCAGGACTTTAGCTGGTACCCATTTAAGGCTGGGTCGACTTGGGAGCCAAGGTCATTTAAAAAAAAAAGTCTGTCTTCATCAGGACCTGAACTCAAGACATTTGGATCCGCAGACAGTGACTTTGCAAAAAAGTGTGTTGAAATAAGATTTCTCTGCTGGAGATATATGTAGATGGGTGTCAAGATATTTAGTTAGATTAACTAATTCTTTTTCCTTGCAAATATTAGGACAGTTTTTCACTCACTTTGTTTAGGTGCAACATAAGATAAAACTTTTCTTCTCACATTGTTTAGGAATGATTTTTTTTTTCCAACAGCTTTGTTAAAGGAATATTTGTCTATTAAATATGTTTAGATATGCTTGTAGATGTTTAGTTAGATTAACTTTGTCTCTACTGTGTGTAAGTTTATACAAACTGCTCCCATGTCAGTAGTATCTGTCAGATGTGTTAACGGTACACTTCCAAATAACACAGCTTGTAGTGTGTAGCCGTCTGCCACCTGTGTATGAGATGTGTGTCGCCGTAGAAGTAGCCCAACCCGTGTGATAGAAGTGGCCCAGCCCCCGCCAGATATGTTTGATATATTTGGTGGTGTGAACAGATCTCACCAATTATCAGACATGTCATAGCGGAGGCTGGATGTGGCTGCCCGCCGTTGCTTGCTGGCATCTGTGTCGTCACCACCATTCAATGTTTGTGACAGCCATCATCATCGTCACACTCACTGAAGCAGCTTTGTTTTCACAGATGTTGTGTGTCATATATTGTTGTTGTTGCAGCTGTATTATAATTGATGTGAAGTGAGGGAAGGCTCTGTTTTTCATTTGCTTTGATACCTTTTCATGATGATGAAGCATGTCCACGCCAGGCTGAGAGAGACATTACAATCAACCACATTATAATCAGCCTCTCATGGGAACAATTTAGAAGAAGTACCTTGGAGTGACTGCTGCATCAGAGAACTGAGCACACATGGAAATGCCCAACGTGCAGAGTCGTCAATTGTGATAACATAACATCTTTTCATGATATAACTAAGGCCTCAGATATGTGGTTTTACAGAATTTTGCTCACAATTCCAAAAACAGTCGAAATAAGAAATCTAAATGTTTTGAAAAACCCTAAGAATTGAAGAGAAATTAATGCAGACATTAGAAACTGGCAGTCATAATTTTTTGGTCATTTAAAAATAAAATTTGAACATGGGACAACTAGAAAGATTTATTGAAAGTGAGACAGATAATATTGACGCCATATCAAGCACCATAATGGATTGGAAAAAAAATTAATACCAGAAGAGATGGCACCAGGAAAGAGGCGCAGAGGCTGCGATCAGGAAGATGGGCACAGGATATAAGTAACTCTTTGGATATGAAAGTGCATGAGGCAGGAGAGATGGCGAGAGACTGGGTTTCTTTTAGGCAGAAGTATGAGAGTGACATTCTGCAAAAGACCTGCTAGATGATAATGATGAAGTTGATAAAGAGAAAACAAGATTCTGGACAGCCTGGTAACATCAGTTGAAAGGTGCACATGCTGTTTACTGTTGTCCCCGTGTGGATTCCGGGGCTGCGTTGTGGGGGGAAACAAAATTAGACCCACTGTCTCCCCAACAAGCATGTCATATTGGGGGGCATCCTTTGAAGTCAGAATGCATCTGGAGGAGAGGCAAGGAGCCAGCAGTCTGCATACAAATAACCCAGATTTGTAAAACAGATGTGCACACAACACTCGGGTTGTGGAACACGACTGAAGTCTTGGCGTGAAAGAACAACCAGAACTTTCCGCCAGAGTTTACAGCTGGTGAACATGAAGAAGAAGAAGTATACTGTTGGAGATCACTAGATGTGGTAAAGCATTATGGCTGACATCAATAAACAAGGCACGTTATAATGATTTTATAGTTTAGCCTGGACAATAACCTACTTTGTTATAGTTTAACTCAGTTGTGTCCAACCTTTTTAATGTGCCCTTGGCTTGTCTTGTAAAAGGAATTAAAAATTGTTGCGTTCAACCAGCATCCGTAAAGGGGGAGCTTTAGATTATAATTGTGACTAGGTTTTGTGCACCATATAAAATGGCCTAGCATTGCTCTGACAAGAACTCTTGCAGTATTGAGGCAGTCAGAGGATACAGACCCAAATATTGTCCCTACCGACGACAAAGTTGTCTACCGTCAGCTAATGGGCAACCCGGTTGCTGATTTCTTAGGTGCTCCCACTTTGAATATATGACAAGGACATCCCCCCCCCCCCCCCCCCCTACACCTCAAAAACAAAATGTGGTTACAAAGAGGAGAACTAGAAGAAAAATCCCAAGCACTGTTAACAAAGTCTTGGAGAAAATTATGCACTTAATTCAAAGTGCCAAATAACTAAAGAAACATTTAAAAAACACACACAAAACTGCTAATTTAGCGGTCAAATATCATGTGTGGTGGTTGAAACTGTTTTATCTTGATGATTTCTGATATTGTTGGTCTGATGTTGGACAAGGTACAATAGAAATCACTCTCCACATCAAGCTGGCAGCTTTCTTTTGTTATACTAAAGCTGAAAATCTAAATAATTACAAGTACAGACAAACTTGATTTCAGAAATGCTCCCCCCCCCCACCCCCCCCCCCCCCCCCCCCCCCCCCCTAATTCCCCCTCCCTTTGAAGTTTCCTTATGCACCCCCAGATTAGAAACCAGTAGTTAAACAAAAGTTTATGTGAATTGGAACCCATGAGAAATACATTATTTTTTGCTTTACTCACCATTGTAGACACGTGTTGACAAACATCTAGACCACTTTATTGTCTATGTGAATTAATAAACATTGGTTAAATATCTTTAACTCCTTGGTTCCAATCCAAAAGTAACGGTGTGAAAAGGATCCTTTTCTTGCTTACAATGTAGCACTTAAATACTGTAGTTCTAATCGTTACCTTAGTTGTTTCACATCATTTACTGTTTACATGTGAGGAACTGTTTCACATCATTTACTGTTTACATGTGAGGAACTGTTTCACATCATTTACTGTTTGCATGTGAGGAACTGTTTCACATCATTTACCGTTTACATGTGGGGAACTGTTTCACATCATTTACTGTTTACATGTGAGGAACTGTTTCACATCATTTACTGTTTCACATCATTTACTGTTTACATGTGAGGAACTGTTTCACATCATTTACTGTTTACATGTGAGGAACTGTTTCACATCATTTACTGTTTACATGTAAGAAAAGAAAAAAAAAACCTGTTTCACATCATTGAATGTTTATATTTGAGATATGTGTTTTGAGAAATTGTTTCATGTCCTTGAATTTGAGAAACTGTTTCACATCATTAAATGTTTGAATTTTTGAAACATTTTCACATCATTAAATGTTTAAATTTTAGAAACTGTTTCATATTATTGAATATTATTAGGAACATTAATTTATGGCCCATTTGTGCTGCACTGTGCATAACTGCTTGCATTGAACATAATCATGTCATAAAAAATGTGATAAGTACTGACCAGTGAATGAAGGAGAGTAAGCTTGTTGTCCCATGATGCATAGGTTCTGTTTCTGACCATTGAGAAAAGTGCCAGCTTGATCCAGAATCCATCCTAAGAAGTTCATAAAGCAGTGATTCAGTTTCTTTCATTTGAAGGATGTCGACCAGTGGACATTCATAGAAGAATGTATGGTAACAAATATGTTACCAAAAAGAAAGTGGTAACAAATATGTTACCCAAAAAAAGTGACAGACCGGGTACATATATTTCAGAAAGGACCCGAGTTTATGATAGATAGATCATCCATGGCCGTCTGCCCGTATTTTAATAGACTAATTGGCACTTGGTTGAAGATGTGATCAACATCACATTTCTTTCCATGTCATTTACTGGTATCCTTTTTAATCTTGGTCGCCAAGTTTTGAGAGCAAAGGTCAATAAAAAATATGATACAATGTAGATTCGAACCCATCACATTTGGGCTGATGGGCAAGCTTCTAGCCATTGTAAAACAAGGGTGGTTTTATTTTCACAAATATTGTTGTATTTCTGTGTTGTTGTTTTTTTCTTCTTCTCAAAACCAGTTATTTAAGAGAACTACAATAAAATATTTTTAACAGTATCATTTGCCTATTTACACACATATTGTTGTTTTAATGCCTATTGTTTTCTTCTCCCTCCACTTAACTCCCCTTGTGTGTATAGAGGCCCAATGAGGATCTAGACTTCGAGGAGCAAATCCTAGAAGCTGCCAAGTCTATTGCTGCAGCAACAGCAGCTTTGGTGAAGTCTGCCTCTGCAGCCCAGCGGGAGCTGGTAGCCCAAGGGAAAGTAGGGTCCACCTTCACTCAGCATGCAGTGGATGAGGATGGCCAGTGGTCACAGGGCCTTATCTCAGCTGTAAGTGTTTGTTGTCTGTGTTTGTTGAGGCTGTTTTACCATGTTTTCTCCTTATGTGTGGGAGATCCAGGTTGGACTCCTCACCAGCACCACAAAAGTGGTACATAAGGCGGGCAGTAAAGGCAGAATTGCCTGACAGAAAAATTGTGCAATATTGTTTTGATCCTCATTATTCAATATCTCTATTGAATTGGACAAAATAGTAGACATGTGGGAAAGACTGTGTACCTGTGTGTTTGTCTGGAGTGTTGTAATGTAGTTTTGTCAGCAGCTCAGACAAGAACAAATAGTTACTTCCTGTATTTAAGATGTAATTGTGGCTTCGATGTCTCATGAGAGATAAGTACCCACAAGTGCAGTAACATTGGTTTTATCAACAGCACAGACTAAATACTCTCTATGCTTCTGCTTTGATTCAGGCCAGGATGGTGGCAGCGGCCACACACAGCCTGTGTGAAGCAGCCAACGCCATGGTTCAGGGACATGCCAGCGAGGAGAGGCTGATAGCCTCGGCCAAGGAAGTTGCCGGTTCCACAGCTCAGCTGCTGATGGCTTGTAAAGTGAAAGCAGATCCTGGTTCTGTGGCCATGCAGAGATTGCAGGTAATTTGTGTGTGAAAGTTAGTTAGTTGCAGTTGCAACTTCAAGGCAAAAAACTTTGTGTGAAAACTGCACTCAATGTCTGTCGTTGTCCTTTGTTGAAAAACTAATACAAACTGTATAATCCCCTGGTGGAGATATTCAACAGACTGCAGTCTCAGGAAAGCTACAGCAGCATACTCACTCATTAAATGCTTAAAGCAGCCTTAAGATGTGCCAACGCAAACATTCCGCCACTAGTATTGCACCCCATCATCAGTGAAAGCAGCAGTTTTAACCAGTCAGCAATTGCACAAGCGATAATGCATAGATGAAAGTATTTCCTCTTTGTTGCATTATCCCAGAAATAACTGACTGATAAAACTGGGCTATTTTCATGTTTAAATAACAGTGTGTTGGAGAATTAAAGTTAAAATCACAAATGTCTGGAATTGGTGGAGTTGAAAGTAACAACTGCAGCAGAATGGGTAAAATCATCTGTTATCTGGGAATTGTGGAGGTAAACTAACAACTTTAACTTAGTGTCATTTTCTAGTGTATGAGACTGAGAGAGAGAGAGAAGAGAGAGAGAGGGAGAGAGAAAGAGAGAGAGAAAGAGGGAGAGAGAAAGAGAGAGAGAGAGGAGAGAGAGAGTCAGTGGTAAACCTCATAAACCAACTCAGGAACTACAGCTTAGGTGATTTAAACCATTAAACTTTTCACAAATTTAACCAGACCAAAACTATAACCAAAAGCTCCTAAGGAGCTGGTTGAACGTGGTAAAAAAAAATTGTTCTCTTCAATGAACGAACAAACTTAAACAGAATGGATAAAAGTATCTTCTTTCTGGGACATAAAAAGTTAACATAACTACAACAGTGAGGGTAGCAGAATCTGTTCATTGGTAATAGAAGTACAGTTTTAAAATGTAAATGGGATATGGTAATAGTTTCTGCTGTCTTAGGACTGGAGCAGGGCAGACAGACACATGTAAAGTAACAACTATAACATATACCATAGGCTGTTTGGGTGTTGCTTCTGTTGTTAAAGTCTTGCCTTACATGTATAGCCTTGTGTTTGGTATGCAGACTGTGTATGAGATAGTTCATCATTTCAGCAATGACTTATCTATATCTCCTTCAGTCTGCGGGCAATGCAGTAAAGAGAGCAACGGAACTGCTAGTGAAAGCTGCCCAGCAAGCTAAAGATTACAATGATGATGAGTCCAGCTTAACTGTGGACAGGAGGATGGTTGGTGGGATCGCACAGGTCAGTCGGCATTTGAATTTTGTTGTTTTGGTAAAAGTAAAGTTTTTGGATATGAAGGTTGGGATAATTATATAAAATAAAATTAAAATAAAAAAATAACAAATGATACCAGAAAGCCAGAGCGTTTCAGGTAAGTATCATTTACATTATATCATTCTGTCATTTTGTTGTTGTTTCATTTTTTTACACATTTTTTGAATACTTTAATTTAATGTAGAATCTGTTCTTTTTTTATGACTTATTTCCTTTTATTTATTTATTTTTTTTTTTTTTTGCTGATAAAGACTAATCGTCACATCATTCTTTCTTTGTTTATTATTGATTCTGTTAAGCTGACGCATATCTTCATTTCTTCGAATCGTTTCTGATCCTGACAGAGAAAGCTAACCCATGTTTATTGACCTGGTTTCTACAGGAACTGCAAGCTCAGGAAGAGATCTTAAGAAAGGAGAAAGAGCTGAATGACGCCAGGAAGAAGTTGATGAGGCTGCGACAAGAGAGATATAAAGGCCGGCCACCAGAAGATGATGATTCTGGCTCCTCGTTTTAGACCATCTGTTTTATTTCTGTGTTACTGTTGGTTTAAAAAAAAAATATTCATTGTTGCTTTGCTATCAGTTACAAATATTCCTTACGGTACATGCATTCTGCAAATTCTTTTGGAAAAATGGAATGTTATTTGTTGCTATGAAAGTATGTGGAGCTCTTAAGGTAAGCGTTTTATAAAAATGTAGTCATGATATTTCTTTGTTTTTAATTATATTTCCATTTTCGTGTTTTTAATGTGCATTTTTAACTTTTATGATGTTAACATTTAAATATGAAGTTTGTTAACAACTCAGGTAATGTAAATGAGCCAGAAATCTGACTACGAGAAGTGATAGTTTTTCCCCTCCTCACCAACTTTAAGTAGCTCTGTTCCTAAAATGATTTCTCGTGCTCTTGAATTAAGTATGACTCGGACATGTAACAGGTTTGAAGAAAAATTGCTCATAGGCGCTGTAATGTATCATTAGTCCTGATACGGCTTTTATTACTGAGCATCTGGGAGGAAACATGTGATGTACATGTAATGGCAACAGTGTGGTCCTGAAATAACAGGGTTTTATTGTGGAAGACTTGTGTTAATAAAGGTGGGCCTTGCTGCTGACACTAGCCTGATTCCTGTCCTGTGCCTCCCTGTTACGCAATATAACATTGTTGTCTAGACCAGCGGTGTCTAAACCTTTTCAGGCCGTACCCCCCTTGAGTATATGGCAAGTTAAAAAACAAGCAAAAAATGTATCTTTCCTGTTTAAAAGCTAGATTATAAAAGCAGTGTTTCCCCGTTGTAAATTTGAACAAAGAAGACACAAATAATAGATTGCACAATTTGTTGCCTTGCATATTTCGCTGTATCTTGTCAGGTGCATACCACAGTAACAGTTACATAAATGAAGCAAATAAATGAATTCTTTATGTTACTTGCAATCTATTGTTTGTGTCTTCTTTGTTGAAATTTAGATAATAATGGAAGTAGTGAGAATTAGCTTCATTGGCTCAGTATCTGGAAGGGCAGAATGTTAGATTTACCTGTGTGCCCAATTCATAACTATTTATAATATTGATTGAATGTTTCTGTTATTTTGGAAAGCTGCTGTCCACCTACCAAAAGCTTTACATAAAGCACAAGCTCTGTAGCTTCAGTAACTGCCTCTCTTGGATCTCTGAAAAATGTGCATGTGAACCTATTAATCCCATCGTTAGGGGAGTTAACCATCTTGCTGGGAGGTAAATCTGCTAGCTACCCCTCAACCAAATCTTCCAGGAAATGTTTTCTGGGAATATTTTAATGCAGTGGAAATTTTGCTGTGAAAAATGTGTGTAGTCTTGAACACTTGGGCCTACTGATCAGTTGTATCAGGCCTAATAAATATAATATTGACAGCCACGTGTGGGCTGCCGGTTATTACATATCAAATCACATATCATGTTAGTTAGCTGACGACAGCTCTGATAGATAACTCACTTGTGGCTCAGCTGGATGAACCTGAAGGGGAGATCTGTGCTTCTGGTGCTAAATCTCCATAGTGAGATACTTCCTTGTTGTAAAGCAAATCAGCAGTGGAAAGGGTGATTTGTTACAGTAAAATTTATGTAATTATTTTATCTCTCTGTGGTTAGGATAATCTGTTATACAAAGTTTCTATGCTTGCATTACCTTCATGGCTGTGGTTTTTGTTGTTTTTGTTTTAGTCTACTGTGAAATGAGTACTAGGGCATGGTCCAGAAAGACAGTGTAGAAAGAAGTTGGTAACCCGACTTCAGGCTGTTATGAAGCTAGAGCATTTGTTCTTCTTCTTCTTTGTGTTCACCAGCTGTAAACAGCAGAAAGTTTTGGTTGTTCATCCACTTCTGGTCTTGTTCCAGAATTTGGGATTTGCATTCACATTCATTTTACAGATAAGACTTACTTGTGTGCAGACTGCTGGTTCCTCTCCTATCAGGCAGATGCACTCCAGCTCAATAGAAACACTTTTTAATTAGCCAGTCACCTTTTATGACAGTCTTGTTTAGATTAGTTGAAGGCCTGGCATGTCAAACCCTCACAGTGGTATCTATCATTGCTGTTGCCTTTTTTGGGGGGTCAGTGAAAGTCAAGGGGGGAGGGGGGAGGGGGGGGGGGGGGGTTAATTTGCTCCAAAATGTGCATGGGCTACTACTTCAAGTTTTTTTTTTTTTTTTTACAAATTATGACATTTGCTGTGGGAGACAGAGCACCTGTAGGTATGTCTGGTGATGATTCTTAAAAGCCAGATCAAACCTCCTTGGAAATTGCTAATTCTGTGTGACATTAGAGTTGTTTGTTGTGGACATGAATATGTTGAACAGAATATCATCACCCCCCCATCCCCCCTCCCCCCCCCCAATCCCTTCCTCACCCACACCACACAACAGGAAAGGATTTACATCCCAGATATTTCCCAGGTGCATTTTTAGGAGCCATGTTGGTGGACAAAGGGGATAGGAGAGAGGGGTTGAATAGACTGACTGCCCTTCTAACCTGTATGTAATGTGGTAAAAGCTGACCAATTAGTTATATGCTGACATTGTATGTGTAGCTTCAAAAAGGGTATACATCTCGTCCTAGCTGTAAACCACAATACGAAATGCTATTGCCCTTTTAAGCACAATTGCAGAAGAAGAAGAAGAAAACATCTAAGATATTATTTCAACTGCAACGCAATAACTAAACAATATGACCTATTTGTATGCATGGAAAGAACTTTGGTAATTCTGTTATTGTTGTTTTCCCTAGAATTCATGTTGGTGGTAAAGACTAGGTTATTTGCTTATGCACTCTTTATCTTTAGTAATGGTTTTGTATATTTTTTTATGAAAGCTAATCTTCCATTTATGAATGCTTTGATTTCTTTTATATTAATTATTTTCTTTTATATCTAAGATTACAATGAGATATAAGTTTGCATGTTGAATTATCATGTGTTGAATGCAAAAGGAAAAGAAGAAGAAGAAAAATTGTCGTGTGTAATTGAAGGATCTTGTAATATGATTAACTCTTACAGTCCCAACCACTTGTTACTTAAATATTTTAAATGTATATTGGAAAGTGCCAGGTAGCTGTTGAAAGTGAAAGAAAAAGGTCTGTGGTCAACACAGAAACTGTAAATGGGACAGGAAAGAAAGGCAGCCAGAATTATGTCAACTATTCCTAACTGTAACTACTGCCCAGTTCTTGAAATGGCTGAATTTTCCACCCAGTTTGTCAAATAGATTAAAGTCTTGTGACACAGAGGTTAAAATGTAGAACAAGTGTTCTGTTTCTTGTTAGGGATCCGGGCTCTCATCTATCAGCGGTGAATTTAAAAAAAAGAATAACTCCTACCTTCTACATGATGTTGTGATTGCTTTGGCAAGAGGCTTCTATTCCTGTTGTTAAGAGCAGAATGTTAGACTGGCCTTCATGTCCAGTCTGTAACCCTTTGTAAATCAAGTTTGTTCAGCCCAGAAATATTTGCCTGCTGAAAGTTTTGATAGTTTTAAGTTAAGTGGATAAGCCAGCTCACAGGATGGGGGGTTGCCATTTTCATGATCCAAGAGCTGGACAATTTTACAAATTTAACAGTATATTTATAATCAAAAATGTTTATAAATATTTAGAATCAATAAATATAAATGTTTATTACCATAAATAAATAAATAAATAAATAAATAAATAAATAAATAAATAAATAAATAAATAAATACAGGTATTAAATGATAATGGTGTCTTTTACCACAACACCGTAATATAAGGCAAAGATGTTCATATTCACAACACCATCTTATCAGATAAAGGTGTCTTTTTCTTCTTCTTCTTCTTCTTTTAATATCTATAGGGAGGAGTTGTGTGGTGCTGTATTTGTCAGGTTCAGCTGTGACAACTTTCTGGACTATCTGCGCCTCTCAACTCGGCACCTGGGACTCTTGGATACTTTTCTGTCAGGATGTGCTTCCTTAGTTGATGGTTGACTAAGACCTGTCCACTGAACCGTGGAGGTTTGTGATTAGAGTCCCTTCTCCTGGATGGTTTGCTGTCTTTAACTGACAGGCTCCATCTATTCATCATGTGTTATGGTGTAAGGTGTGACTGTCTACCCCATGCTTCAGTCCCCCAGCCTAGAGGACCAAGTTGTCTATTCTCTATCCTTTGGCCTGTCTGGTTTAGGAGGCCCTGCTGATAGTTATGCTTCTACCAGTTTACCTCTCAGGGTCTTGAAAAATACCAGCTGCCCCAGCACACCAAGATGGAGACACCTTCAGGTAGAGGTCAAGGTGTCATAAAAGATATCACCTTACTGTATACTCCCTGAAATGTCAATAGTCTGAGAACCCTTACAATTACAGGAAAAGTATGAAACATGAACAGGTTACCCTTGCAGAGGACGTTTGTACACAGTGTCTGTATGACATTTTTGCACAAGAGTTTTACACAAAATGTCTATACAGGACTTATACAATACGTTTGAACACAATGTTTCTGTAAGTCTTTTGTACACAGTGTCTTATAAAACATTTGTGCCTGATTGTAAACACCCCCCCCCCCTTTTTTTCACTTCCCCAACAATCTTTCTAAATCAAGCATGTCATAAAAGGCTACTAAAAGGGGTTGTTTAAATAGGGTGTGTTCGGCAAAAAAGGCACAACACAACATGTCAGCTGCCCTTTTGAAGGTGAACACCGAAGAACAGTGTAAAGAATAACAGCCGTGTAAGGGAACATATATGCATATACACAACTAATATGGAATATCTATTGATACATATTTCTACGGGATTCATAACTTCCCAAACAGTAACCTCTGCTGATCTGAGAATATGGTTCTTGTATGCTTATGCCTGTATTTATATTCCAACTGTTATGCACATAATCATATCACCATATCAGTTTATTATATGATTTATCTTGATGTTAGATTTTTTTTCTTTCTGTTTGTTGTCTTTGACCCGCCAGTTGATGGAGTCTGCTGAGATCCACATTTGTTAGATTCTGTGAGGAATTGGGACTTAA